CTGCGAGCTCTGCTTTGATGTGCTCGTGTTTTTCACTAGTTCCATATTTAACTGAACTCATCATCATAAACTCCAGGATCTGTTTCACTTTCAGCGCCAGGCTGGGTTTCCTGTTGGACTGGCAAAGGACACACCTGCATGGTGGGTTTCTGCCGGGATGGGGGATCCTGTTATCCACGGACACAAAGGGAGCATAGGAATCTGGAGCTGGTGGATTCCTTTCCCCAAGCACGTGGCCAGACCTGTAAATCCAGCTGCCTGGCCTTTTCTGTTTACTGGTTTCCATGTCTGCTCCAGTATGTCCTGGGAATGCGTGGCAGGACTCGACTCTTCTTTCTGGGAAGCCTGTGGGTACAACTGGAGCTGGTTTGCCCCTTCCAAAATCTGCCTCAAGGCTTCTTGTGTTTATTAAACATCATCCTTTGTCTGTATCCTGGGTATTGCCTTCAGTGCTCTGCTGGCCATGGGCTCTCCCATTGGTTCTGTGCTTCTGGCTGCACCCCACAAGTGCCGCTGTTACCCCAAACAGCAGAAACAACTGTTAGTTGTGGTTCCCACTTGACAAGGCAACCTCTAATTTGGGATCCCAGCAATGGAATAACAGAAACTGTTCCTGCTGGGGCTGGGCCTCTGCCATGGGTTAATCACCTTGCAGGGCTGGGACCCAAGAGCTTGTGAAAACTCATAGGGGGGAGATTGAGATGAGCTCTGAGGCAGAAGCTCTTCCCTGGGAGGGTGCTGAGGCGCTGGCACAGGGTGCCCAGAGAAGCTGTGGCTGCCCCATCCCTGGCAGTGTTCAAGGCCAGGCTGGACACAGGGGCTTGGAGCAACCTGCTCCAGTGGAAGGTGTCCCTGCCCGTGGCAGGGGTTGGAACTGGAGGAGCTTTAAGTTCCCTTCAACCCAAACCAGTCTGTGACTCTAATATGAAACACTTCAATTTTCATACTTCACAGACCACACGTGCTGACAATACCTGCTGGCAGTAACCTCTTAGATGGCAACAGGAAAAAGACAGAAAACCCCAGAAGAATGCTTTGCCAAAACAGGCTTAATGAACTTTAAAGACTCGCTGGAGGAGGTGGAGGTAATTTGGGCGTGCATTAGGTGATTTCATTCTGTCCCTCGGCAGGGAGCTGCTCCAGGATTGTGATGTAGCTATGGCAGCACACTGCACCTGTGGGATACTGATGTGTTTATGTGTGGCTTTCTTAAAAAATAATGTTAAAACCTGTCCCTTTGCTTATCATTAAAGAATTAATGTGGTTTTTTATCTTGTGCCTGCCCATTCAGTTCTGCAATGAATTCATCCCAGAGAGAGACATGAGCTCCCCACATCTCAGTGTCCTCTGCCTGTGTTTTCAGAAGCAGAGGGACCCGGTTTGTGTTCCCGGGCATAGAATCCCAGCCTGGTTTGTGTTGGAAGGGACCTTAAAGCCCTTCCAGTTCCAACCCCCTGCCACGGGCAGGGACACCTTCCACTAGAGCAGGTTTCCAGGAGTACCAGTGTTCCCCATCACTGGGCTCTGCCCGTGGAACTTCTTCCTCCCCAGTCTCTCAGTCCCGAAGAGATTCATCAGTGAGAGGAAGAATCAGGATCACAAAGGTCTGGAGGACCAGGGTCATTTCATCCTCACATTTTGGTGGGTCTGTATTAAAACCACACAGGCAAGTGGTAGGCCCAGCGTGCTCCTTAGTGAGTAAGGTTAGTTCACCTCATACTCTGCATCTGTCAGCTTGTCCCAGTCAGGATTTACACACGTTCCTGGGGGTTTTAAGCTCTTAATCTCTGTGAGTCTCTCCAGGACACATTTCTCTCCTACCCCGAGGTGGAGTCACCTTAATTCTCTCACTCGTAGACTGACCTACAGTCTTCCTCCTTCTTCCCTCAAACCACAGCTGCTCATCATTCATGGTTTCGTTAAACACTCGGTTATTTCTTTTTCCAGGAGCTCTGGTCAGTGCTTTAATATCGAACATTAAAACCATTCCGAACTGAGCATGACTTAACTGCAACAAGATCATATAATAAAAGTGCTGCAGTGCTTTGCTGCAGCTCAGGAGCCCCTGAGGTCGCCTTGCCCCGTTGCACAGTGCCATCTCCTGGAGAGCCGTGCCTCAGATCTGCTCCCGAAGCAGCAAGTGGTGCTGCAGCTCGGCTGCTGCTTCTGATCGCCACAGGGATTATCTCTGACCCACCGAGCGTCTCTTCCTCACCGAACCTCTCCTCCTCCAGCAGGTACAAAGGAAGCTGCTCATCGCCTGGCCGCTTCCTCTCACCTCAAGGGCACCCGATGACAGAGCATCCCTGCTCTGGATGCCAAACACAAACGTCTAGGTAGGAAAAGAACAGGAGGGGAGCACAAATGAACATCTTTAGATGTTACTCCTTAGCTTTTGTTCCACTTGGGCACCAGTTCCAGCTGTACACGCTGCGTATAAGTGCCCCCTGTGCCTGTTCCTCCTGGCTGTAGTTTTAAGGGACACTTTTCTCCTTCCCCAGATTTGATGACCTGGTCATGAGCAACAACCAAGGCCCTCATCACAGTGCTCACCCTGTATTTAAAATGTTGCTACATCTTTTTAATGAGACAAAAACGTGTATGGGGAACTCGTGCTTGAATGCTGCTGCCTTGACTAAGCTCTATTTTTAACCTGAAAAGACAAGGAAAATGGGTGATTCCAAGAGCAACACATTTAGTCCCATGAAACACAGCTTAGTCACTGAAAAAATGCACTGTGAATTGCAAGCCAAAGGCTGGGGCTTCATGCATCATTTTAGGCTATTGTGGCATCTTCTGAGCAGTTGCTTCAGTAACCTGTGCCACAGAATAACCACTGCTCCGAGGTAAGGCTTCAAAGCTGCTGTTTGTAAAGACCATAATTAGGTAAATACAAGGCCATAAAGTTCACAAAGGAGAGAAAACACGACCCTGCCCCGTGGCTGTTCACAGCTTTGGCCTTTTCTCTGTGTTGCAGACCTCAGAGCTCCCTTTTGCCAGTGAACTGAAGCAGCCTGTTTACCAAAACCGTATTTCTTTTAATGAAAAATCGTATTTCATTAGGAGGAATCACGACACAAATGAGGAACACGGGTAACCAAAGGTTTCACTTGAAAAATAAAGTTCAATGGAGCAATTGATTTGATTCCACAAAGTCTGAGAGAAAAAGTCTGGGGAGTGTCACTCGTGGGGCTGACTCGCTGGGATGTCAGTGCCAAAGGGTCAGGAGTCTTCAGGGGCTAAACCCTTCTCACTGCACTGTCCTGTCCTGCCCCACCAGGCTGCAGGCAAGAGGAGATGAGGAAAGGGCAGGAACAGGCAGCAGGGGTCCCCCAGCAGCATCCCCTCATAAAAGGCTGTGTAAAGGTTTCATTTGATTGTGCAAATTCACCCCCTCATCAGTCCTTGCTCAGCTCTCAGCGCTAAAAGAGACTCAACAGCAAGCAAATACCAGCTCTGAAGAAGTTGTTTCAAAGTTAATACCTGGCAAGCAACAAGCTTGTTGTATGTGACACACTTTGCAAGTGAGAAGTTATGCTTCCTTCTTTCTTTTTCCTTTTTCTTGGAAGTTTGCTTCCATGCACGGACAAGTGGAGCTTTTAATCTGTAAAGTTCAGGAAGTTACTGTAAGTTTGCAAGAGTCACATTGACCATCCTGTGAAATGAAGCTTTCTCACTGAGGATCTCTCAAAGTGGCTGCTAAGATGCTTTACCCTGTGCCACAGTAAGGGGATAGTGAGGTGAGCCTCAACCCACGCCACTGAAGCAACTAACAAAGAGCTGTACTTGCTTCCAGCTCCCAAAAAGTACAGAACAACCTTCACCACCAGCAGCAGAACCAAGTCACATTCCAAAATTCACCCAATTCAGTCAGTGGCTGACACACTCCTAAAGGCTGGGGATTCCTGCGAGGCTCAGGCTCCGTAGTCCAGGTCCACTTTGATGGATCAAGGCATTATGGAGGTGACAAACTATGCAGATGAGACAGAGATGGAGCTTTACCTGTTACACCCACCCGAGACAAACTCACCCAGGCTCTTGTGCATTAAGTAAGTTGAGACAGGCAGGAATTGCTCCAACGCATATCCCAGGGCAGCATCTGGCAACCAAGACATGACATTTTCATCCCATCTGCCAAGTGTGCAGTGAAATTTCATGACCACATGCAGATAGAACATGAGGTAAATGCACTATTTGAATCCCATTTGTATCCTGAGGGGATGCAGGTGGGATTTAAACCACATGTAGGCTTGGCACTGGTCTGCATTGGCTGGATGTCACTGCAAGAGCAGTATCCATAACTCTCAGTGCAGAGAGAAGGCTGTACCACAGCTGGTACCACGTTTCCACTAAGTGCTTTCAGCAAGAGACAGAAGCTCATTCACTGCCATGCACTGCTGTTGATGATAACTGTACCTTGGTAACTGCAGTGCTGTGATACCATCAGACTCTCCATGTTAGAAATAAGTTAAAGGCTATAGATCTGGAGAGAGAGGAAAAGACAAAGGTGTCACACTTAGGAGAGGGTTTTTTTCAAACAGAAATTAAAAAATAACTGTTTTTTTTAATAACAACTCTATTGTTTGAGGAACTAAAGCAACCAAGGGTAAGTTCCTGGTTTATTACACATCCTGCTATGGCTCTCTGTGGAGTCTGAAAAGGCAGATTAGCATAAGACTAGCAGAGAAAGCTGTTCAGGCTCAGACTCCAAGGCAAGCCATGTCACATCGACACCCCCTGGGTCCTCCAGCAGCGCAAGCAGGTTCTTCCCAAGACAGATGTCCCATAGAATAGCTTAGGTTGGGAAAAACCCATTACAATCATCGAGTCCAGTGCTGCCAAGTCCACCAAGAAACCACATCCCTCAGTGCCACATCACCACGTCTTGGTGTCTCCACCGCTTCCCTGGGCGGCCTGTTCCAATGCTGGACAAGCCTTTCCGTGAGGAGATTTTCCTCCTCAATAGCCCATCTAAACCTCCCCTCCCAGCACTGTTTCCTTCACTGGATCATGCCATCTTGCTGCCCTGGCTGGCTGGGGTCAGTGGTGACCGATGGGCTGGGTGTATTGCTCTGCAAAAATCGACGGAAGTCCTTAATCATGGGGCGGAGAACCTGGATGAGGGCGCTCAGTGCTGCCTGTGTTCCCTCCATGGCTTGTGCCTGTCGCTCCTGGGCACACGCCTGCACCTCCTGAGAGCGCCGAATCATCTGAAGCAAGTCATTCTGCTGCTCCAAGTGCTGGGCAATCTCCTTCACGTGCAGGTTGGTCACTCGCTGCTCCTGCAGGAGCTTGGCTGAGTTCAGAGCGATTCGGCTCTTCAGCTCCTGGGGTTTCGCGGCCACTTCGTGCTGATGCGCCATCATCTCCAAGGGTGCCTCTGCGGTGACGGTGGGGGGGGCTTCTGTTGTGCAGTACTCCACCACCCCGTCCTCCAGGCTGTGGTAGGTTGTCTCTGCAGGAACTGAGAACAAAGGACAGAAAGGGGGTGAGACGGAGCTGCCATCCGGGGATTTTTATCTATGGGGCTATTCAATGGCTATCACAGGAATAGTGCCTGCTCAGCGAGATAACATACAACGGCCAGCAACGCACAAAATGACCTATTTCAGTCTACTCCACCCTCATTCAAGCTTCCTTCTAGACTGCAGGGTCCAAAGGAACAGGCCTTATCTGTCTAGACAAAATCATTTCACAACCTCCAGTTCAAACACTCTTT